AGCATCATATCTTCGCCTTGATTAAATACCATCCCAACAAAGATATTTAGATTGTCGTGAATCGCATCTTTCATCTAAAAGCAAGGAACTGGAAGTCTGTCTTTCAGCTTGAGAGAGCTTGCAAAAAACAGTATAGCAATGATTTTCTATGTGTTTCTGGATAAATTTAGTAAAAAATCATGGCTGCTAAAAAGACCAGGTTACTGGAAAAATGTATGCTCCAGATTTTGCCGGATCAGTGTCAGCAAGCATCAATGACATTTACCTACAAAATTTTATCGCTTACACCCAGAGTGCGGCGAAAAATCGAGCTGCATGCTTACTGAAAATCGCTAAAAAAAATCTTGACCAGGAACTCTTCTAGTTTTCGGATCCAAATTACCCAAACCGATAACCTGTGTGAGGAGCTGTAAATCTTCCCGACCAAATTTGATCGGGCGTCGCTGTGGATACTGATGATAAGTAACATGAGTATTGACGCCAACAATAGCATGACGCTTCTGCCCGATACTTAGATTACTCATCTTTGTATTTGTACTTCCCACGGACATCTAAACAAAAAAAAACGCAGAACGTCACAAAGCTTTAGATAAAAAAGAAGGGCAAAAAGTACGTATTTTTATGTTAACATGCATAAAAATTTAGACTTCCTGAACATGTGCTTCCAAGCGTAACAGTGAGAAAAAGGTCTGTAAAAACTACCATGGATTTCACTTGTTCATCATCCATAATTTTTACATCATCCTTGTAGACACGCCATGGCATTTTGCTGAGAGCGCGTGATTGACTGCAAAAAAAGCAAATATTAAGAATTTCCCGGTTTCTCCCAAAAACTAGCCAAAATTTGCATGATTTTTAGCCAACTTTTTTCAAGAATAACGCTATTAAGGGTCATTTAAAGGTGTAGGCGCATGACTGCTAAGCCTAGCTCACCAGTAGCGATAAATGATGAAGGATATGAAGATCAGGATCGCGGTTGCGAAAATCGCTGCAGCTGAGATTATTTCGATTATATAAGTGCATTTTTCATTGCGATACCCGCAAGTCGGTTCATCCAGCGGCATCGATCCATCCTGCGTAGACCAGAATCCCGTCACAGCGTCCGTTAGGATCTAAAGTATTTTTATGGTCACTTCGGTCAGCCTAAAGTAATGAAACAAAAACGCACTATGATACCACCAAGTTCAAGTGAATCTAGAATTAGGTAGACTAGACAGTTAAAAGCTTTCTGATCCTTCTTCCATCGTCGCCCATGTACGGGTCACAAATTTGACCCGTACAAATTGGAGTAGAAGGGAAATAAGAGAATTCCTTCTAGATCTTTTTTAATCCCTATCTAATCTGTGACTTCGGAATCAGTTCCTGGCTAATTTTATGACTTCAGAACAATAGGACTCAAAGTTTTGTGATGTCCTTCCTGAGCTGGAGCGGCCCTTGGTACCAACATAAAGTTGGAATACAAGGAAGGTCATCAATACAATGGAAGAACCCGCTTGAACGGTTGGTTATATGATATTACATGGATATGAAACTAGACAAGAATGAGGAAGTTGCCAGTTGCTTCAAAATAGCTAGAAGAAATGCAACGATGAAACACTGATTAACTAAGTACAAAAAGTCATTATACCAAATCGTAGCATCCATATTTGTCACGTAATCCATCACAATTTGGTCTTAATTGCGAATTCATATTAATAATCTTTATGAGTTTCTCCGAGCCTTGTGCCACAAAAAATGCAGCCAAACTGGGTGAACGATCCGCTAAATCATCCATTAGCACTACGCCTGTTGCACTTCCTGGAACAAAAAAAAATCTTGAAGTTTGAGTGCCCAGAAAATTAAGTTACAGCTACTCTATGAAATTAGTGCAGTCAACCGCATGTTAATTATTTTTTCAATAGCCATAATGATATATTTCTGAAGCTGTGATCGCCTAACATGCATCTGTAAGCTTTACCGTAGCAATTTTTTGAAAGCAGTGGAGAAGTGATGCGAAACATAGTCACTGACAAAATGCGGAAGGGCGAATACTGGCTGTAATGGGGAGAATAACAAAGGATTTTTGGAGTATATCTTCATGATATTTTTTAACAGTTGACGCTTTTTCAGCTTAGTGACATGCAGGATATCGTTGCGAACGCGCAAAGATTGAAATATGATGGACAAAAGATGTTTTTGTAACAGTCGTTCAGTTCTGTGTTTCAGTAGGTGGAGAGACTGCTCATCCGAGTTCCTTCGAAAAAAGTCAGAGATGCATCCTGGGAGTGTGCAGCTTAAGGCGACAGGCGTAGCATATTTGCAATCGTCGTGAAGTGTATCCCAGCAACATCACAATTGTATGTGTTGCCACTGATCATCCGGACAAGAAAGTAGCCATTACATTGCTTAACCTGATATAAGTAACAACAAATGCAACCTTCAAACTGCAATCTCCTCATTTTACTCCAAACAAGGCTTCCATTATTTATGGCCTGCAGGTTACTTGTTTCGTTGAAAAGCGCCCGTATTGCATATGCATAAAGACTTAGTGCATCATAGAGATAAAGATAAGAATAGATATTTGCCTAAAAAATTTCAGATCATTAGCTTTTACCAAGTTACGAGACGTCCTAAAAAAACTTCGAATAATCCGCTTACCATATCGAGATTTTCCCTCGACAAACCCTTCGGCTCCACTTTCTTGAGAAATTTCGTGACGTGCTCATCGTCAAAACCGTTCACATCATCGATATGAAATAAAAGATTATTTTGTTTAATAGATATTTGTTTGTTTTAAAATTTTCTAAAAGGCTCTATTTTCTGCCTAGTGGGTTTAGTGCACCTGGAAAATAGCGCCACTTTCCGATCGAAGGAATCGAATCTTTTATCTTTACAATCTCCGAATCCTCCAAATCATGACATTTTAACCATTGCTCTTATTCTTTGCAAAAAAGGCTCCGTTCGGAAGACAAATGCTCTTTGAAAGTTTGGATTAGGTTCACAACTTTTTTCCTTATTGTTGCATTCAGGAATATCTCTTACAGGAAAATATCTTAGAGAAAAAAATCCAAACGATTTACCACGATAGTGTTTGAGAAGTGTTCCTTCACTTTTTGCATTGTTTCGCCACCTGTGCCAAGCCAAGGCATTGCATCTTTGCGTCCATCCTGTAGCCAGGGCAGTATGTAGACAAATTCATGGGTATGCATTCCTTTGATATATGTTGCCGCCATGAACTG